GTAGCGTCGGTGGTATAGCGGTTTGGACGCTCGCCGACCATGCACATGGTCCGGGGTTCAATCCCCGACTGACGCACTCTTTTACCTCTCCGAGCCAGAAATAATGCTGGTAAAGAGGAAAGGTTGGGCATGAGGCTGGCTAGCAACCCCATCCTGTAAAATAATAAAAAACACTGCTACAGAAACTTCAAGCCTCTAACTTGAAGCCCTGAGGAACGTGAAGGAAAAATAAAAATCATCATCTATTGTAGTTACTCTGAATCGCGGTATTCTCTTTACTCACACGTCCTTCCCTTGCATCACATCAGTTAGGACTAGAGGTCAATATAAAAGATTGCATACTCGCACAATTGAGTACAAAAACTCATCAATACCCTATTTAGCCTCATTCTATCTGATGGGGTTAAAGTGTTAAATGTGAAACTTATAACTAACTTACTATGTGGTTATTAAAATAAATATGTCTGTCTGTCTGTCAGTTTTAGACATAGAACTTTGCACCGATGTGCAGCACTTCAAGTCGCCACACTCCCCCATGTACCGCACAAAGAAAGAGAAGAAAGTAGGAGGAATGCATATTAGAGACAGTAAACAGATGTGTGAGACAAAGGAATAGTGATAACGAAGAACAACATAATGGATGCATCTGCACCAGCGATTGAGAACGATGAGTTTGAGCCGTCCCACCAATTCTTCCCGACCATTGGTTTTTACCGTCTCGAGGATCCCAACCAGGAAACCATTCTACACCTTCCTACGTGGCTTAAATTAACTGTTGTGGATTTCATTGACTGATGAAGCCATGTATTTGTTTGACCGTCGCTAACTCTTTTCCAGCCTGACCCTATGTCAGCTAACATTGCTTGTCGAGAAAGGCGATGACTAGGCAAAATAAGTGGTTCTTTGATCTTCTCATATTCGTAATTTATGGTGACACTGACGATCGAAGACGAGAGACTCGGCAAAGGAATGTTTATTAGCAACTTGGGATCTTTATACACCGAAATTATGTTCACTTTATCTTCTGTGTTGTACCTGCTACTTCTGGCCTTAATATTGTCTTTCTCTGTGTCCCTTTCACGTCGTCTCCCATGTATCTCCACAGCTCTGTATGATTTGCTTTCTGCGACATCAAATCTATCTCCTTGTTATTTGATATTATTTTTATGCCGATAAACGTCTGTTTATATACTACTGATAAACCTTATCAGCAGAACACACCACTACACTATTTCAGTTATCTTATAATTTTAGTAATTAACATTATTATTGGCCATTATCATTTTACGCTCTTTTTATACATTTGATTCCATGCTGTATCATAAGTAACAATAATAATAATAATAATAGCATATTGACTACCACAACTTCAAATCGTTCGCGTAATCGCAACACTCGAGACTCGTTACTTTTAGCCACTGTTTCAAAAGCAGCTTCAACAACTTCATCTCATTCCAATCCTGCAGCTACCCTATCAAGTTCCACTGTATGCCCATTAAGTGTGTAACATATCAGACTGTAAAGTGTTCTTGTACAGGATCTACGACTAGTGGTGGTAGTAGTACTACTACCAGTAGTTCAACAGTTAGTGGTATTTCAAATTCTGGTGTTGTCCTTCGACAGTTTGAAGCACACAAAGCTATCCTAGCTGCTAAAAGCCAGGTGTTTGCTGCAATGTTTGAACATGGCATTATTATTATTTATTATTTAAACGCATAAAAAACTTGGTACAATATGGCACCAAGAAAGATGCGCCACACAATAATAATAAAACAACATAGATCAAAAAAAGGAAGGAAGGAAAAGAAAAAATATATATAAGTAGAGAACGGATAAAGAACTTCATCTGGAAGGAAAACAGTCATGCTTAACAAGTTCAAACAGTGTTCGTTAACTATCATCGCGAAGGAAAGAAAGAAGGAAATCGCAACACATTCGCCACTGATTACGATTCTTGGCCATATCCGATAACGTTTCGAGCCATCGATTTGAGCTATCTCTCGGACCCCAACCAGGGAGTCGTGACACACCAACCGATGCTATTCTAGCACAAAAATCCTTCATCCCTCGACGCCACGTCATGGACTGACCACCTCTCCGCCTTTTCCATCCCGTCCCAGGGCTAGCGAACAGAGACCTGTACGGAAGCCTCTGGGGTGACATTCGGAGCACATGTCCAAGCCACCGGAGCCGGTGTTTCCAGATGACGACACTCAATGAATGGTGATCTCCACTTTGTTCAAACACACGCCGCCGAACCTCAGAATTACTCACGCGATGATGCCATCGAACGCAAGCAATCCTGCGGAGACAGCGGTGATCGAACACGCAGAGTCGCCGAACATCCTCAGCCTACTGGGAGAGGCCAGGTTTCTCAGGCGTAGAGCAGGGCAGCCCGCACCGAAGCATTGTATACCCGATTTTTGACAGCCAGGCTAACGTCGCGACGGCGCCAGAGGTGGCTCAAGTTGATGTATGCCACCCTAGCCTTCATTATACGGTTGGAAATCTCATCCGTCACCCCTCCGCCAGCACTCACACAACTACCCAGGTACACAAACTTATCAACAACTTCAAGCGGTTCACCCGCAAGAGTGAGTGCAGGTACAGGCTCCTGCCAATCTTGTAACAGTACTTTGCACTTAGACGGCGCAAAGCACATACCATACTTACAGACACTGATCGCCAACTGATTAAGTGCGATTTGGGTAGCCTGAATGCTATCGCACAGTAAGACGATATCGTCTGCATACTCGAGGTCGAAAAGTCTATCTCCAGGTAGCAGATCTACACCACTTTCACGCACATCCTTCAGAGCTGACTCCAGAATGTCATCGATGGCAAAGTTAAAGAGAAATGGAGAGATTGGGCAACCCTGTCTAACCCCACTGTTGGTTGGGAACAGTGGTGATAGTTGGTTGTATGCCCTAACTCTACCTGAGGTGTTTCTGTATAGGGCTTTCAGGATGTTAACAAATTTCTCAGGTACACCTCTTTCTAACAGACAGTTCCAGAGCACAGTTCTGTCCAACGAATCGAAGGCAGCCCTAATATCAAGAAACACAACGATCGTTGGCCTGCATTACGTGTGGCGGTGTTCCAACAACTGAGAAGGGTGAACACATGATCAATGCATCCACGACCTGAACGAAACCCAGCCTGCTCTTCGCGAATCAATCCTTCACGTATTTTGCACAGTCTGCGAAGCAAGACAGCAGCCAATATTTTAGACGCGACTGGTAACAGACTGATACCCCTATAATTGTCACACGAATTACGTCGACCCTTTTTAAAGATGGGGACGATAATGGCTTCGTTCCACATTGATGGTACACTCTCTGTCTCCCACACCTTCCTGAACAACCCAGTTAAAGCCATTGTGAGAGTCTCGCCGCCATCTTTAAAAAGAGCCGGGGGTAATTTGTCTGTGCCGGGCGCCTTACGGCGTTTCAGAACTTGGAGTTCCTTACGGACCTCCGCTTCGGTGGGTGGGTCGGTACTAACCGACCAAGGAGCACTCGGGCTAATGATAGTAGACTCTGAAGCTGGTGGCCAGCTGAACTGCTTCCCGAAGTGCTCTGCCCAGCGTTCCAGGCGTCTTTTCAGGCTGATAATTGGAGTGCCATCTGCCTCACAGACCGTCTCGCTGACACCTTGTTTCTTGCTGCCGGTGGCTCGTATGAGTTGGAACAGCTTCCGACTGTTGCCAGATGCAGCAGCTGACTCCATCTCACACGCACGTTCTGACCACCAGGCTTCGCGGTCCTTACGTAAACACTGTCTAATCTTGCGCGTGAGCGCCTTTCGCTGATTGTTGTATTCGCTGCCAGCCGGAATGGACCGGCGTTCATCCATGAGTTGCAAGGAACTCGCAGAAACCCAGTGGTTGTTAGCGGAGCATTCTTTCAAGCCGCAAGCGGCTACACTCGCCTTTTGCATGGCACCTTGCACATGAAGCCAATGTTCATCTATACTACTTGGGGGGTTGCTGGCAAGCATTGTTTTTAACTCATTCTGATATTTCAAAGAAGTAGCAGGTGCTACTAGTTTGCTCACATCAACGCTTAGACGACGGCTTTTACGAACCCCACCAAATCGCAAGACGAACTTGGCACACACTAACGCATGCCATGAACATGGCATGGAGGAAGAGTCTAGAGCTAATCGAGTTGAAATTACAGATATGGAACCAGATACTGTGGCTGAAGTTCTACGTTACATATAATACTGGACAGGTTGTCGGTATGAATCGATTGGCGCATGAATTATTAGCAGCCTACTGACAAGTATTAATTGGAAAGGCTGAAGACAATGTGTGAAGAAACACTTGTATAAACTCTTTCAGTCGGGAATGCTTGTGATATATATGAACTTGCTGGTATGCACAATGCTGAACAGTTGAAAGCTCATGAACTTGAGTTGTTTAATACTACATGTTCATGATGTCTGTGAAACTGAAGGCTATGAACAACTGGTACGACATCGTCCACGTCTGTTGAATTAATGCTTTCGTAGTCTTGCCTCACAATAGCTCACTTTAAGATGTTGGGCACGTAAACGTCTAGACAATCTTAAATTTTTTTTGTGTGTGTATACAATAACACCAACAGAAAAAAGCATTATGCTTCATTATTCCCTTTCTCTGTATCTCTCCTCATCAGCGTTGTCCCCCATCACACATCTCTATTAGTATTAAAAAATTCTTTCACTTCAGAAATCAGAAAAAATCACTGCGCTCTTGTGCGTCGGTGGCACAGTGGTTAGGACTCTCGCCGTCCATGCACATGGTCCGGGGTTCGATCCTCTGCCGACGCACACCTCGTATCAATGGTCGGCCTGCAAAATTTGGGCTACCGATATCCATGCTGAAAATTCTATACTTGTGGAATCAAGCCGTAATCAAAAATTAATAAAAATAAGTACTGTTTTGGAATAAAGTAAATGATTATTATTATATTATTATCATCGTAAATCGCAATTCATTACTTCTACTTTTTTAGTTCCAAGTTGGCGTGTCATACCAATCCCGGTGATTGAAAGTGCAATAGATTGTTCTTGTGAATCAAGACAACATTCTTTGAAATCCACTCCTAGAAAACCACAATCTACGGCGAATAAGTTAACCGATTCCGATATTGTTAAATCTCATAATCTTCGACCTCTTCAACGATCCAATCAATTAACATCATCATCAGCAGCAACAACAACAACAAGTACCAATCGTTCTGGATCTTCTTCCTCTTCCTCACAGATTCAGAAATCTCGTTCACAAACAGAACACAGTAAATCAATGGATGCCTTAGATGAAGACATATCAGATGCAGCTTATCTTGCTCGTCATTCACGCTTGGAGGTGGAAGAAGCGCGTCGTGAACGTTTATCCCGTCAGCGGACAGCAGAACAAGAACTTAAACAACGTTTAGAGGAAAGAGAACAAGCTAGTTGGGTAAATAAAGCTGAACTATACCATATACTCTTACATCTTGTTGTTTTACTTTGTCTATGTTTACAAATATGAAGAAGTAGCTTGATGCTTGGTTTTTAAATCCAATGGGGTTGGGGGTTCGAATGCTGCCCCATTCCCCCACTCCTGCCTACCTCATTTTGGGCAACTGCTGTCATCAACTGTCACATAGTGATTGTCTTTCATAGCATAACCTGGTGTTTGACGGGATACTAGTAACTAGTGTGATGTGTCTAGTCCTTTATTTGGTGCAGACTGAATTCTATCAGTCAGCCATGTTTGCAATGTGGTCACCATTTTAAGTAGCTCACCATCATAGTGCACATTGATTTGATGATATAAGATAGTTGGAGGCGACTGGCCATAGGAATCCTTACTTGACCTAGGTTTCGTGCTAGTTGGCACTCATCAGTCAGTCAGTCAGTCAGCAAGGCGTTTCTGCCACCTTGAGGGAACTCACTCATGTCCCTTCGCAGTGTTATCCAGCGCTGCAGTCAGAGAATGGTGGCTACACTGCAAACCTGACTGATAGAATTCAGTCTGCACCGAACAACAAAAGACTAGATACATCACACTAGTTACTAGTGTCCAATTAAATTATCCACTACAGTCCTACAGGAAGGAGGTCAATCGCGAGTCCGAATAACTGGCTCAGTGGTAACGTCTCTGACTGCAGGCGGCACTGGGTGACGCGGGTTCGAATCTCAGAAGGGGCATGAGCTGTTCCTTCAAGGTTGCAGATACGCCTTTCTGACTGACTGGTGAGTGCCAACTAGCACGAAACCTAAGTCAGGCAAGGCTTCCTGTGGCCGATTGCCACCAACTATCATCTAATAGCCTGGTGTGTAGAAAAGATGTGTTTCGGATAACCGAGTTCTGACTAACATGTCATCGAGTAGTGGGTGGTGATCTAGTTTGAATTTACTCGGTGCATCGCTTAATCGTGCTCATTAGCAAGCTAGCTGTGTGTGTGTGAACACTGCTATCTACTGTCCTTATTTGTGTTCTATAAAAACACTACATAAGACCAGGCGGCTGGAAAGGTTACGAACAAGGAGCTCTGGCAGACAACTAACAACAACCGACCGAGAACTTTACTACCCACCCAACAAGTATTCTGAAGAAGATAGAGACGGATTGGACATATTCTGAGTGACATCCGGCTATCAACCAAGGGACGTGTGTACTACTCATCAGTTCGCTCCGTCCTTCTCTATGGCTCTGAAACATGGCCAATACGAGTTGAAGACATGAAAAGGTTGACTACTTTCGATCATAGTTGTCTCTATCTCTTTCTCACGTTAGGTGGTATATAATAAGGTAAGTAATGTTGACGTTAGGCGTAGAGTGTTGGGCAGACAAAGAGGGGAAATCAATCGGCGAGGTTATAAAGTTACATAGATTGAGTGAGATGGCTAGGTCACGTTCTGCGCATGCCTAACCGTCGCCTCCCCCGCCGACGGCCATTACTAGCTGATATACGTGCAGGTTGGAAAAGAGTAAGTGGTGGGTGGCCAAACAAAAACATGGCCTCATCAATCCATGAAATCCTTGACAGTTAAACTGAGTCAGGTAGGGCGATGGAGACTTCCGGGTTGGGGCCCTTGGGACTGACTCTAAGAATCAATAGCTGGAGACAATAGTTGGTGACATGGCTCAAAATCGTTGTCAATGGCCAAAGTCTCTGTAATCTTTCATATTCCTTTCTACTATTATTATGCATTCTGTTTCACTCTTATACTTGTCAAACTATTGATTCTCTTCACTCATCTTCTTGTCTACCTACCTTTGTGTGCTATTTGGAAGGTGACAGCTCGAACTGGTGCACTTCAGTGCCAAGTTCTCTGTTGAATCCAAACAGACTTATACTAAGGAGACTGTTGTTGAGTGAGATATCACACACCAAGCCAGGCTGTTGGGTGATTGATAAGATGGTTGAGAGATAGATTATGGGTAGTCGTGGACCCAGATAGAAAGGACGGCAGAATATTGAAGGCAAGTGGAGATGTGTATTATTGAAGCCCTATATTCCCCTCGGAACCCAAGGGAATAATAATGATAATAATAAATCAGCACTGTTCATACAATATTTGACAACTATATATGCTTAATTCGTGAACATTTGTATATTTATTAGTAGAAGTGTTTTACATCAAATTCATTTCCTAGGAGCTCTGTACAGCTTTAAACGTATATTAGGGTTTTTAATCTACAAAAACGGAAACAATTATTTTCTTTAAAATATTGTTTTTTCACCATTTTTATTTTTTATTGATCTCTTTCAGCACAAAAGACAATCAGGTCGTTTAGATCCATTGTTGAAGTTTAATCCAGCTAGTCGAATGCCAACTCAGTTGAGTTATACATTCAAGCAAGGTGAGAATATTTCCCAAAATATATTTGTGTATGTGTATTATTATTATATCCTTTAATTCCTAGATGAACATAGGGCTTCAGTCGCACGTCTCCCTTGCCTTCGGTTTTCTGCCAACTTTTTCACTCCGCTCCAAGTCTGTCCACATGCTTTCATCTCTTGACATGACCTCCTCCTCGAAGTCACCCTTTCACTGACGTCCCACTCGCCGCTTCCCTTTCGGCCAGTTTCCACTCGAGGAATAACCTGATGCGCGGGCGATTTCACCCAGCGGCGACCTCCTCGGCGAGTGTCCTAACCATCTCCATCCACTTTCTCCTGCATATTTGTTGGTTCGCGATTGGTTCTTGTTTTGTTTGTTCCTTCACATAGTTTCTTGTTGGTGATTCTTTCCGGTCTGACCATCTTATCTTCATCATAGAGCGAAGACAGTTGTTGATGAAGGTCAGCAACAGGCTGTTGGAAATATTCTTTGTGACCCGCCCGCCCGCTTAGTTTCTCATCCGTATAGAAGAAGTGACTGACTTGACGTTGTTTGTATTGAAGATCTGACCGAATTTTGTTGTTGATGCTGGCTGAGTGACGAAGATTTCCAGATTGGTTTCAGTTGGTTGATGAATGTGTTTCTCGCCTTCCGGATTCTCGCTCGATTTGACATCCTCGTCCGTTTCGACTTCCTGTAGTTGAGACAATGATCCCTAGATAAGTGAATGAAAAGGCTTCTTTTGAGATGATACGATAATAGAGACACTAGGAAATCAATACGTTGAATCTTCATTCATTGAGATGGGAGTTTTTTGATCGTCAGCTGACTTCCTTTAGCAGATCACTGGAAAACAGGAAGTACTGAACAGATGTTTTATCCTATTTCCGGGCTTTTCATTAGTATTCCCTTCCTCCGAGGTTCTAACGTTTTGGGACCTTCGGGTTAAAAGACAAGCTCTTTTATATGATTCAGCTACTGGAACCCAATTCACTGACTTATGAATTCGAACTTCTACCGCCATCCAATGTCTTGGCCTAGTAACTCTGTTGGCTTCTCGACTTCGTGGACCTCACTGGTCACATGACTTCTCACTAAAACTCTATGTTTTCTATAGTTTGGTTTGTAAATGTTCGTTATGTTTTTACGAGTTGATCAGTACTCCTTGTTTTTCAATGGTTCTCTCACTGATATCAATACGTGATCAACTCGTAAAAACATAACTAACCCTTACAAACCGAACTATAGAAAATTAATTTGATGCTCGCTAGCGACTTTCTACAGGATGGAGTTTCCTGGAGTTAGTTCTAGTGAGAAGTCGTGACCAGTGACGTCCAATTAGATGTCACTTGTGTGGATGGATCGATGTCTCACCAACGACACTGGTTGGGGTCGCGCTAAATCATGAATTGGTAGAAGTTAGAATTCATGAACTGGCCATTGGGGAGTCGGGTCCCAATGGCTGAATGTTATACGAGCCAGCTTTCCTTGTAACCGAAAGGTCTTGGGTTCGAACCCTCGCAGTGGGGCGGATGTGTACTACCGATGATTCCCAACCTAGGCTGGTGAAACAGCTGTCCAGTACTCCAGTGCTGGTTTTCAATGGTTCTCTAACTGATATCAATCCGTGGTCAACTCGTAAAACTCTATGTAACTTCCTGTGTAGGGCCAGCCAGTTACTAGTGAGCATCAGATTAATTGTCAAGTGTTTTGTTTGGTTACCTACCGGTTTCATTACGACCTGATATCAGGTGGAGAGCTATTGGAACGTGGTTGATCGTTTACTCGCGTACCATATGATTTTCTTTAAATTGCATAATATCATATTTTCAGTCAATGTCTTGGAATGTTTTGTATGGCTTGATGTATACGTATAGAGATATATGTATATGGTGCGTCGGTGGCACAGTTGTTGGGACTCTTGCCGACCGTGTAGATGGTCCAGGGTTCGATCCCCTGCCGACGCACACCTGATATCTGTGGTCGGCTTGCAAAATTTGGGCTACCGATATCACATGCTGAAAATTCCATACTTGTACCAAAAATACGGTGTGAAATCAAGCGGTAATCAGAAAAAAAAATATCTTGATAGGGGTGTACAGATCGCCTAGCTGGTGGTGGCATTCTAAAACTGATAAAAATCAATAGTAAAGGTGGTAGCCCTTGATGGATGAGACAGATAGCTCAAAATTGATTAGAAAAGCAAATGTTATTATACAGTGTTGAGCTGTAACTGATTAGGTCCAATCAATTGATCACAGACTCGAACCACGCTCCACTCGAAAAAGTTCGGGCCAATGTCTGTTTCATCTTATTCGCTATCCGATCGATATTCCTCCTTTCCTTTATTTTGTGTAATTCTATTATTTTGAACTAATGCGTTTTTGTTTGTGTACTGTTGGTTTGTCTACATAAAAGTGACTATGATTATTTATTTACTGCTAATTTTGTGCCTTTTTTCCGATTAAGGTCATCAATTCCATCTGGATAATTCCATCCCTGTGGTAATATTCGGTTGTCGTGTACCGTCAGCATCATTAAAGTAAGTCAATCGGGGACAGCCACATCCACAGAACATTGACGTAGTTTTTATAATATCACAAGTGAATAAAGGAAATGAGGTCATCGTGTTTACTATTACTACTACTACCCTACTTATATAATCGTTGAAAGAAAACACCCCCACACACAGAAAAATAATAGAAAAACACTATATGAGGGAATAGAATGAACTAGGATCAACGAAGCATTATTATTATTATTGTTTCCTTAATTCCTAGAGAAACATAGGGCTTCAGTCGCGCGTCTGGATTGCATTCGGTTCTCTGTCAACGTTTTCACCCCTCTCCAAGTCTGCCCAGACGTTTTCATCTCCTTTTCACATGACCTCCTCCAAGTCACCCTTGGAAGACCAACTCGCCTCCCCCCTTCCGGCCAGGTTCCACTTGAGTGATGGAGTCTCTAATGATGTCACTCGATGGTTTCCATCTCCATTTTTTCCTGCCTATTTGTTGCACAATCGGTTCATGCTGGATTGGTTCGCTAATTGCCAGAGATCCCTCCCTTTTGCTGATCTTTTCTGGCCATCTGGTCTTGAATAGTATTGAGCGAAGACAACTATTAATGAAGGTCTGTAGTTTATTTGAGATCCTCTTTATGACGCTCTGGCCAAGTCTCTGATCCGTACAGTAATTAGCACTGACTTCACATGCTGAGTGTTGTGTGCTGTTGACCTCCACCCAGACTTGAGAGTAATGAAAGCTTGTCTTGCTTTTCCGATTCTTGCTTTGATATTCTCGTCAGTTCCGCCTGTAGTTGAAACGATGCTTCCCAGGTGAGTGGGTACAGGAGGTTGTTTCTTTCACACTTGTAAATGATCCATTCTCAAAGGAGATGCGTCACCACTTTACTCTGTCGGTAGGGGAAAATAAAAGATAAATTCCAGCATATTTGTGACTGATTTCAGTTCTCGGTGATATCTGATAACATACATAGCCACCGATGCGAACTACTTTTCGTCTGTTTTCCACCCTAGAGTTCATCATGGTCCGATCAGCTGTGTATTAACCTAACACAAACTGATCCCCATGGCACCAAGTCGTACGCCGCCGCAGACCACCCCTCAGTTTTCCCCATCCGGTCCAGGGGTAACAAGCAGCGAGATGACATTCGTAGTACACATGTCTTACTTAGCCCTCGGAAAATCTCCGATATTAGCATATACCTTATTTTATCTAAGCATATGTAAAACTGTAAATTCAGATATACCGATCAGTGCACTTCAAATAAAGACATTTCATGGAATTTAGGCTTAAGCTATCCCCTAACTGGCACGCTTACTGCGTGAGGCTCAGTGGTGGGAATGCTTGCTTGCTAACCACGAACATGGACCAGGTTCGATTCCAGAAGGGCGTAAGAGAGAAGCTTGGGTGGGTGATGCTAGCAACCACCTCGAGTGATTGCAATTTTTGGGTATGTCTGACAACATTTCAAACCCCATTGATCGGAATTATCTCTCAGACCCCTCACCGAGGGAGTTGTGATACCTCAACAGATGCTAACGTGTAACAGCTATCCTCCATCCTACAGCACGCCACACTATAAGCTGTGACTACCTACTCCTCTGCTTCTCCACCCAGTTCAAAGGCCACGGCTGGCGAGCGGTAAGGAAGCCGTACCAATGACTTTCGTAGCACTTAGTGTATATTGAATATCGTAAATCCGAACATGTGGTTGGTCAGTGTACTGCAAATAGATATTCCATGGAATGCAAACTCGAATACTGTGCTAATCTAGAAACATTTGCGTAAACCGTCAATCACTATATTATGTCTTGTTCCGTACTTTTGCATAACTTGTCAACTCGTAAATCTTCTGGAACTTATCGCATAGGTATTTCAGCATTTATATATTATTTTAACTGTGTCACGACATCACATTGAATTGTAATTATAGTAGTCTCTTACATTTCAAGTAGAGCATAGAGCAGCAGGCTTTTTGAAGTGTCGATAGCCAGCCAGTGGTGATGTTGTTTATAGGAGGGGGAGAGTTTGTAGTCTCACACCCTACTCTTCCCTCTTCTCTAGCCTTCCTATGAATGAGCTAGTAAATTTGGTGAGGTGGTGTATGATTGGTGAATTCGGCCGGGAATCGAACCTAGACTATGTATGTGCGTGGCTAATCGAGTATATTCTACCATTGACCCACGACCGATGCATAATCGCTTGTCACAAAATCTTTCGATTAGCTTACCAAGGTGACTGAGATACGATACTGTGGTGCGCATTCTTTATAATACTGAATGTTGAAATAAGTCAATCGACGGAGAACGCTTATACTTAAGCTGTACAACCGACATTTTTGTTTACAGGATTTCATCATGAGCTGACATTAGTTAGAGAACCATTGAAAAACCACTTGGGAGTACTAGTCAGCTGCCTCGTCCTAATTCGGGACTTTTCAGCAGTACGCACCCACCTGGATTCGAACCCCAGGACCTTCTAGTTAAAAGGTGAGCTCGTATACCATTAAGCCACTGGGACCCGATCCAATTGCCCATGAATTCTAACTTCTACCAATTCACGACATAGCTCAACCGCTAGCCAATGTCTTCGGCGAGTATTTGTCCTCACTCCCAACCTGCTGCACCCTACTGGGCACGACTTCTCACTAGATTCCCAGGTATTCAAGTCGCTAGTGAACATCTCATTGGTGTTCAAGTGTTGGTTTTGGTTTGAATTGTCTCTTTCCCTCACAATACCCCCCATAGGACACTCAAATACACGGTACTTCTGACGAATTTTAAACTCCTAACTTTATTCCCTAACTCTTTTCTTTTCTCACTCTCTCATTGTAGACCCTTCACAAAGTCGAGTATTCCTTGAATTCATGTGATGTGTTGTACTACGGGAGAAAGATAATGTGTGAAAACAAACAAACAATTCATGCCATGCAATATCCTGTTTGCAATGTTTTTATTTGTGTATGTCTGTGTACAGTTCTGTATCGTTTGTTTTTTGTTGTTGTTGTTGTTCTTGTTGATGATGTTCTTGTTGCCGTCGTCTTAACAGAGGAGGATTCTTCTGTTATGCGTCGTGCATGTGTATATATATATATAGATACATCCATATAAAATGATGAATCGTTTGCATTGTACCGTTTTTCGTCTTCTAAGCGTGGATTATATCTTCATATTGTTATTATTATCATTATTATTAAAATTACTATTAATATTATGATGTTTAAATCCGGTTGGCTTTTGATGATTCCTCTCTATCCCCGCTGATAATAATAATACTAATACTAATAATTAACTCATGGCTTATTCACACACACATACACCTCCCCCCACTACGCCTACCACGCTTCATTATTTTTCATCGTTTGGAACTTTATCACCATGGTCATTAATATCATTTTTATATATGTATATTTATATATATATACAAATATATATACACATTGTTTTGCATGTTTGTGCTTTGAAATTGGCATTATTTTTATTAATTTAGACATTTAGAAAACAAAAAGATTAAGCGAAGAAGTATTCACTTTTTGATTATATCCTCATCTCATCTGGCTCTACTCTAATATGCATTTTTATTATTACAAATACACAACAGTTTACCAATCAAGTAAGTGGCACTGATATGTTTATTAACCATAATTAGTCAGTCAGTGTCAACATGTCAAGCAGTGGGGTGATAATTAACGAAGAAAATCAATATACGACAATTTAAAGGTAGAAATGGTTAGAATGAATTAATTTCACAAGGATAACACGTAATTAAGGATGAAGTGGTCAAAAATAAATAAAACTAAAATAATTTGGACAATTATAATTTATAAAGGTTTAGGGGGAGGGGGGCGAAGTAGTCCGGTGTATACATTCATGTAACGATGGTCAAGGAAGGTAAGGAAAGTGGCTGTACAAATTTCTTCTGAACACACACACAGGTTTGGCTTGTTCTTCAGGTGGATTCCTATTGCTTCAGCTGTAGGTATGTAGAAGACGAACTCGTAGAGCGAAATTAAGTTTAGTAGGAATGCGATAGATAATTTTAAATGCTGTATTAACATCAACCTTATGCTCACTAGTTGTCTACAAGGTGTGCTCAAACAGACAGCTATGAATAGATCTTGTTTGTCCCTTGCTTAACCATGTTGGATGGTGATGTTCGGAAATGGGATGATGAACCTGCCTAATTGTACGCCCAATGTAGCTGGCTCCACAGCTGCAGTCAAACTTGTAGATTCACATAGAAGAGGAGGCGAATTTAGGTAGTTTATCCTTATTTCTCGAACGCAGAATAGGGGTGGTTGTGAAAAGACAACATACCCCTGCTCCATAATAAGCTCCCTTAACTGCATTCTTAAAGTGCTGTGTTATTGTGGTGAGAGCAGGCCGTGAGAAAAC